GTGCTTAGGGTTGCATTTAATGACGTACCCAACGAGTAAGCCAATCATTGATAGAAAATAATGGGAAAGGGGATGCATTAGTTGTGCCCTTCTCCTTAGCTGCTCTCCACATATGTCTGGTCATGAGGGTAGTTCCATTATAATGGCAAGACTGTGCAGGATGCAGCAGACCAGGAGAAATATTGACAAATTATCTCGAGCGAACCATGGGGCTCCTTCAGAATGATCTTAGCAGTTTGAGGATCTCCAGAGTCTGCTTGATATTATTGAATCATATCATATAACTCCTCCACAGTGCGGCAACAGGCCATTTGGTCCAATGAGTTCACACCAAACCTCCGAAGAGCATTCCACCCAAACCCATCCCCCTACCCTTTCCCTGTGACCGTGCATTTCCTCATGGCTAACCCACCTACCCTGCACATCCCTGGATACTGGGCAATTTAGCATGGCCAGTCCATCCTAACCTGCACATCTTTGGACTGTGGGAGGAAACCGGAGCACCCGATAGAAACCCACGCAGACACAGGGAGAATGTGCGAACTCCACACAGACAGTCACCCGAGGGTAGAATCGAACCCGGGTCCCTGGTGCTGTGAGGCAGCAGTGCTAACCAGTGAGAAATATTAGTGGCAGCTGGGAGAACTCGACTCTCACTGCCATGTGATGAGTGTGCTATAAAAAGAAGTGGCCAGGACCATTCATAAGCACCAGTAGATCTAACCATGATTGGTGATTCTGTCTTTGTTGATAAGGAAGTCTTGAACTAACTTTAGTAAAGCATTTGATCTGTTATTCCCTTCCAATTGCTTCTATTGTACCTGGAATTTGCCTTTTGAATCTTAGATGTTGGTTGCATGAGAATTCTGGATGATTGGGATCTGGATAATGAGAACTTTACTGTAAATTTCTACAAAATGTGCCTCTTGGCAAAAATCCTTATTTTTCCTTTCCTTGGTTAGTCCCTGTATGTTCTTGTTCTGTGATCAAACTGGAAATAATGCTTAGTATTGACTTTTTCCAGTCAACTTAGAAACTTGAATATCTTCCTTTTTGTTTTCCAAAAATGATCCAAATTTTTTTAAATTTTTGCCTGTAACTCAGTATCCTAATAAGAAGTCTTTTCTCCAGGATTTGAATGCTTCCCTTGTGATTTGGTGACCAGAACTGAACACAATATACAAGACATAGCCTAATCAGACCTCTTAAAATATTGGCAAAATGGTTGAACAATCTTCTTATTTTGTTAACCACTGTTCTGTAATAACTGAATATGTTCAATGTTACTACCACTCCCAGATCTGTCAGCCTTTTCTCCCAACTAGTTCAACATTATTCCTTTAAATAATTGTATGAGAGCCTGCTCCATGTTGTATTACTTTCAAGGTTATATACTTTATGCCAGAGTTCCCACAGTTTGCTAATGGGACAGAGTTGTAATGTTACTCAGCGGATGCTTGATCACCCAGAGAGAGGCATGAACTGAATGTTGTGTTTTTTCATCAATTTTAAACTCTGTCAACAACCTTTTATGCTTGTACAATGAGATGATATCTCTTCAGCCATGTTTCAATAGTCACGGTCAGCATCATTGTACGGTTGTAACTTTTGTTTACCTATGTAATAGTTTCTCCCATGCATCCAATGACTCTGTGTAGGCTCTCAATCGTGGACCAGTCCCAAAAGACTAGCAGTAGTCGATTATTTTTAAAGGTCATTGCAAAAATTTTCTCATTACCCAAAGTGAAATTAGGCAGTTTTTAAATGGTACCACTGGAAACCAAATAATTTTTCACAGAATCTATGCAAGTTAAGTTTATAATGCTCTTTGTACTCTTCTCTCACTGTATTTATCTTTTCCTCTCCTTTCCACCTTCCATCTCTGGCTTCTCTACATTTATGAGACATTCTGAGAAAAATACTACTGTTTTTCCTCCTTTGTTATTTCCAGACTCTTGCTTGCATCTGTAGTTTTCCTAGTAATCCTGGCAGTGTAGCAGATTAGTAACATTCTCCATCGCTGAGTTTTGACACTGCCAGTGTTTCTGTATTGAACAGGCTATGAATTGCCATTCACTCAGGTCGATACCACTCTTGCGTTTGTCAGAATGAAATAAAGAAGCTTGCATTTATGTGATATTTTGCCATACCCTCAGCTACCCCAAGGCACCTTCCAAATAATGATTTATTTTTGAGTTTTACTGACTGATGTTATATCATTGCATTATTTCAATTTGCATGCAAGAGTCTCTCAAACATCAAGCAAATGAATGACTATTATAATCTATTTGGTCTTTAGTGCTGTTGTAGGAGGGAGGAATGTGAACTTGCACTTTTCTTTGAACAGTAGTGTGCAATTTCTCTTCACTTTCACTCCAGTATTGTATTTTGAAGTTTATTCAGACCCTCTGGCCCCCATCCCCCGCTCTTACTCTGTCATATTGACTGTATATTTAGTTATGCTGTCTCACTCATTTTCAATGTTAGCACCTTGTACTTGATACTGTACTGATCTTAGCTGATGTTAACACTGAACAAGTCAGATCCCAGATTGAAACCTGGCTTGATAAACCCTAACTTTGATTTTTTTTTTCACCCGTTAACCATGATGGTCAGTCACTGAATACGATTATAAGAACCTGACGTGTCCTTGTAATACACAGAATAAAAGGTTTATTAAACAAGAAGAACGTGCATTATATTGTACAAATCAAAAGAGTTGAAAATGTTTCATTGTAAACATGAGAAAAGGATTCAAACTCTCACTATCCCTTCTACTCAAGCAATATGCTTCTATATCCCAAAGTCCCAACAAAGATTTACCACCATCTCCACACTAATATTTCTTGCTCAGCTTGGCACAACTGTACCTGGTTTCCTTCCAGTGAATTTCTATGCATTCATTAGGTACTTTCTTCCTCCAGCTGATGGCTCTCCCTGAGGTGCCAAAAACAAATTATAAACTAAACTTGCTACTATTGTAACTCCGCCCAAACACACGAGTTCCTTTAACGTAGTTTCTAACAACGTTATTAGAGAGTTTAATACTTCTTTCTCCACCTACTCGTGCACACATTTGACCCACTCCCTCCTGGATTTGTCTGTGTTACTCAACCTCTGCTTCTGGACAATAGCATAGTTATTTCTTTGTTCCTACCTTTTTTCCCCATTCAACTACTAACCCCAATCTCTTCACTTCAAGGTTTGAAAATTTAAAAAATGCACGCAAACAAATAGGATGCCAGACATGTCAGCATCAAGATCGCAAGAACAACTCTATAAATGAAGTTAAAACTATGTCTTAATGCATAAAATGCAAAACGTAAATTAAACTTAAAATTGTATATTGTTCTGAACAATACCCCATTAGTCTGTTTTGTGTTTATTTTTCAGTTGAGTTTCTTTTATGTAACCACAACAGTGACACTATCATGAGGAAAACAAAGCAGTCATTGTGATAATGGATTGTGGCTGTGATGTGAATATCCACGATGTGGAGGAGCCGGTGTTGGACTAGGGTGGACAAAGTCAGAAGTCACCAGGTTATAGTCCAACAGGTTTATTTGAAATCACAAGCTTTTGGAGCGTAGCCCCTTCTTCAGGTGAAGTGAGGGAGAAGCACACAGAACACAGAATTCATGGGCAGAGAGATTAAAAGATCATACAAATGATGTGAATAGAGTGTCGAATAATAAGCCTCTGCGGGTGATCAAAAGTGTCAGATGGTGTGAGTGAAGTGTCAACAGCTGAATATCAAGCAAAGGGATGGCCTATAATCTGATTAAATAAGGCGGAGAGATATTTACAAAAGATTAAAAATAAGGTGGTGCTGGAGATAAACAAAATGACTGGAATAACATGACAGGTACAAGAGTCGCATGCCAAGGGTCTAACCAAAGTAATAAGTCATCCAAAACTATGTAAACTAATGAAGGTGAAGACATCCTAACAATTTATCCTCCAAGGCAGCCTTCGAGATATACAACAATGTAGAATCGCCGAGCAGAGACTGATAGCCAAGCTCCATACCCATGAAGACGGCCTCAACCGTGATCTTGGGTTCATGTCGCGCTCCAGGTGACCCCACCAATCTTCTTTATTGTCTTGTTTTGACACCACCATCTGGATAAATTGTTATCATCTCTGTACCTTAATTAGTTTGTGCAGTAAACCTGTGGGACTATCTCTTGGGGTCATGTGACTTCTGAATATCCATAATACATCTTCCTGTCGTTAGTGTTTTAATGCCTTGGTAACAAGTCTCTGAAGTTGGAGGTTTGCTGTTTCGGCTGAGGTGCATTTTGGCCAAAAACATCAGGTGCTTGTTTATCCAAAGATCAGGTCTGATGTTGCATGTTCTTCAGGAACAGCGTTCTGACAGGTGCCTGTCCCACATTGCCTACTTACCTGTTCTTCACTCTGGCTGAGTACAGGCTATTGTGGAACGAACTTGAGCAATTCACATGGTGTTAGTGTCTTGTTACCATCTATATGTCCTATCTTAAAGTTCACTTGCTCTTTAGCTTTGAGTCTATTATACAATGTATGATAGTGTACTTAATTGCAATATACCAGTTTTTTTTCCAGTGATCATCTCTTTACTCTGCATTGTTGGTGTTTTTCTCTTTAATACAATTTAACATTGTTTTGTGTTAGCCAATGCACTTGCTGTTTATGCCAGTCCATTCCAAAACAGTCTGTCTTGTAAAGTTTCTGTATATATGCTACATTTTTTTGTATTGAGCAGACTGTTGTTTGCATGTATGGCATGGCTTTCCTGGGAGTCTGAATGTAAGAACTTGCTGGTCTTAGTGCTTCAATGCTCAGTTTGCGTGCACGCTGACTAATCTGTGTATACTCTGCCTGTCAGTCCGTGTATCATAGGTCTGTGCTTCTGTTCTTGTGATCTGCCTAACTCCATGCACACAGCTTGTGAGTTCATGTACTTACTACGCTGTTCTCTTCTTGCATGTTTCTACACTCTTGTGCCGCTTCACTAGTCACTTCTTCCTGAGAACGATAGGCCACAGTTATGGCGCACAAGACTTCACAGCTCGTTCCAGAACACAGTCAAGTGCGGCCTCAAACCATAAAGTTACTAACTCTGACTCTGCTTCTACCAACATCGTCATATTTAAAAGGTACTTGTCACTTTGGTTTCTCTCAACATTTTGTACTGTATAAGGAAATGAACTACTACATTGCTAACAGGACATGCTGCTGGGATTAGCATTAATTTAAATCTCTGGTCAAATCACTTCTTTGGTGCTGTGTGCTAAAAGCAATCAGTAATTGGGAGAAGAGGAACTCACCTTCGTGGCAGGATTATCACTATTCTTATGAATCTTGGTTAGACAAAATCATATCTTGTTGGATGGTACACACTAAACGTTAGCTGAAGTCGGGGAACAGCAGCATTCATAGCTTTAAACTCATAGCCTTAGCTGAGAAATAAGTTCTGCAAAAGTTCAGCAGCCGTAATGGAGAGAGAAACAAAGTTCATGTGCTCCAACATCTGCAATACTTCTAGCTTTTATTTTAGGCCTTAGTTCAGAACTTGGTGGGTCATTTTAAACTTGATAAGAGGTAATAGTTAAATAGTTTAATCTGTGTAATTGAACAATGGAAGCCATTGGGATTGCAGGAATGTTTAGATGTTTTGTGACACATGCTGTAATTTGAAAGCTTTTCAGTCATGGCCTGGAGGGATTTTTTTAAAAAAAAACAAGCAAAACCCTTTGCTATCATGAGATAACAATATGAGCAGGATAAGAGACAAATGCGAGAGAGAGAGAAAGAGCATTGATTTCATGATCTCCATCCACGTGGTGAACTCGCAAGTTGAGGAGATTGTTATCCAAGATTGAACTTGACTGAGAAATTCGAGTAGGACAAGTAACTGGTACATTGTTTCCTACCAGGCTCCTGCCAGTCTCGTTTGGATTTGAGCTCAGGCCCCAGAGATGAAAGTGTAGTGTCTAATCCACGGCACCAGTCAGCCATTTTGTACTTTCCCAGTGAGTTTCACTGATAGTTCATTATTGATTATCTGATGTGTGCTCCCTCTCTGATGTTTCTCTTTCTAAGAGAATTCTCTTCCTATCATTTACTTCTCACGCAGCTCATCCTTTGGGAGGAGACAGGAAAGTCTTGTCAGCAGTTCAGCCCCTGGTTCTGTCACCACGATTTCAAGCTCAGGTTTTTCCACCAACCCTGCCAGTAGCCGGGCCCTGACCACAGGCACCTCAGCAGCATCTACAGCCACCAGTTTCACAAGCCGGTAAGATTGACTCAGTGCTATGTTAACGTCAACCTGTCCCCTTTGCTGTCTGGTAGCCATGCTTCATGTGACCCCAAAGGAATGTCTGCAGTTGGTCCTGCAAAGCTTCCCCACTCCTGTCCTGTGCTTGATTATTCTTTCTATGAGTCAACATCGGTATACCACGAGCATTGAAAATTTACACCAATCTTTTCTCCATCTCTCTCCCTCTCATTCCATTAAAAAAAACAAGCCTTTTTCGATGTTGTTGTTGCTTTGAGAAGCTTCCCCTAATTGGGAAAACCCAAGTCATTGTTTTTTTTTCTCCACACGTTGCACACTTTTCATTCCCTGGTCTCCAGTTCCCACCTCTTTCCCTAACAAAGGACTGAGTCTGTACCAGATTGTGTGCAGACTTGCGGTCATGGTTCTCTCTGAGGTGAGCTTCTGATCACGTCTGGGCCATCACTATGACCTCCTATTTCCACTGCAGCAAAGTTACCCATACCTTATGTTATCTACAATAACCACGTTTGCAGTTTGAGAAACCTCAGCTCAGAGTTGATGAACTGGATAGTGAGCTCAGACATTACAGTGCAAGTGGAGAGATACCTGAAAGCTTTGTTCCTGGGAGTAGTTACACCTCTTAAATTGATACTTCAGATACAGTTCACAGTCTGGGACAGGAAGGTGTGAGCAAAAGTGAGGCAGGTATGAGGATCTAGAAGATAGCACTGGAGGAGCCTCACTTCTTTCAATTATCCAACTGGTTCAAGGTTTTTTCCATTTGGGTGGTTGAATGCAGGGGGACTACAGGAAGGTTGATCGAACTGACCGCAACATTGTGCTGCAGAAGACCTTTCAAGTTGGGGGGGGTTGGGAAGCTGAAGTTAAAAGGAGACTGCATAGTCAGGAGAATATATACACTTCTCAACTGTTGCCTGGCTCCTGCTAAGGTTTAAGGACATTTTCTCAAGGCTGGGGAGAAACTTCAATAGAAGGGATTAAGGATCCAGTTGTTATGAATCGCATAGTTGTGAAAGACGTAGGGACGAAGTAAGAATGGGGTTCTGCTGAGGGAAGTATGAGCAACTAACGAGTAAATTCAGAAAGTGGGTCCTCATGTATAAAATCTCTGGATTGCTTCTTGAGCCAGGAGTAAGTTGCATTGGGGTATCTTAAGAATGTGAGACTCAAAGATTAGTGCTGAAGAAATGGGTTTCAATTTATTGGGCACTGGCACCTGTTCTGGTGAAAGGAGAGCTGTTCTGTTGGAACAGGCTTTATTTGAATCAGTGTCTTTCAAATTGAATATATACAACTTTAGAGTGAGTTTTGAATTAAATCAAGGCATCAAGAATTCAACTGTGGGAAATTTTTAAAAGTTAAGAAGAAAGGACAAGGCAGTATTGCAATGTAATGACATGGGTAATGATAGCCAAAGTGTCTTAGCAGTAGTCAGAGTATACATACGTGAAAGTGCACCAGCAGCTAAGGTCAGAGTAGGGAAAAAATGTTCAAAGGGCAAAATTAAAGGACACAACATTCATAATAACAGGATGATGGCACAAATAGAAATAAGGGACGTGATCGCAAGGTGACCAAGACTGGGAACTGAATATTCAAGGGTAGTTGACATTTCACAAAGAAAGACATAAAGGAACAAAAAGTAGGCTCGCTTTGATAATTAAGGATGGGACCAGTGATAAATTAATTTGCTTTGGGAGATCAAGATGTAGTATTAGTTTAGCTGGAGATAAGAAATAATGAACAAATTCCACAGATCAGTATAGACATTCGAGTAACTCCATTATAAATCAAGAAGTAAAGAGGCTTGTTTTAAAAAAAAAGTAATGAAAAAATTATAGATGCCTGACATTTGCACAGATTGGAAAAATCAACATGGTAAAGTTAACCTAATTTAACCTAAAAGATAAGCTCGTGGAGTATATTTGAGACAGTTCCCTGGAATAATATGCAGTAGAACCAACGTGAATAGGCTGTTCCATGCTTCATTACATGATGAGACATGATTAATTAAGATCTCCATGCAAAAAGATCCTCTGGGAACGGTTAATCAAAGTTTTAGAATACCACTTTGAGAGTTAGAAACTTAGGTTTAAAGCTAATTGTAATTACCTTTATTTCTATTTATGAGGACAGAATTGGTTAACATATTCTTGAAAAATAGATTAAGGTAGTTGATAAGCGGTGACAAACATGGAAGGATATTTCAAAATTCTCAGCCTAGATATTCCATTGAGATTATCAAAAGGATGAAGTATCTGTGGCTAATGAAGTTGAAAGGAAAGGTGTACAGTATAGTTAAAACCAGCAATGGATGCCTTCAATAAGGGAAAAAAAGACAGTGTTGGAGAGTAAACTAGAGAGAAAAATAGATTTACAAGGATGTTGCCAGGGTTGGAGGGTTTGAGCTATAGGCAGAGGCTGAATAGGCTGGGACTATTTTCCCTGGAGCATTGAAGGCTGAAGGGTGACCTTATAGCGGTTTATAAAATCATGAGGAGCATGGATAGAGTGGATAACCAGGGTTGTTTCCCCAGGGTAGGGGAGTCCAAAGCTAGAGGGCATAGGCTTAAGGTGCGAGGGGAAAGATTTAAAAGGGGCTAAGGGGCAGCATTTTCACCCAGAGGGTGGTGTGTGTATGGAATGTCCTGCCAGGGGAAGTGGTGGAGGCGGGTACAATTAAAGCATTTAAGAAGCATCTGGATGGGTATATGAATAGGAAGGGCTCAGAGGGATATGGGCCAAATACTGGCAAATGGGACTAGATTTATCTCGGATATCTGGTCGGCCTGGACGAGTTGCACTGAGGGGTCTGTTCCTGTGCTGAACGTCTCTATGACTTGAAGTGTTCAAGAATAGACTGGAACAGTTTCTACAAGCATCTTAAAAAGAGAGCTGCTCAAACAAACATGACATGATGAATCTAATAATAGAAACGAGGAAGCATCAGTGATTTTGAACAAATCTATGTCTTCCTTTAGAATGTTTAGAAGAATGAAAGATGATTTTATTGTTATGTGTAAGAATCTGAGGCGGCTAGATGGCGTGGATGCTGAGAGCCTGGTTCCTCTTGTGGGGGAGTCAAAAACTAAGAGGCATCGTTCTAAGGGATCTTGATTTAATTTATTATTGTCACATGTACCTAGGTTCAGTGAAAAGTTTTTTTGTTTGGAGATGAGGAGGTTGATTGAGGATTATGAATATCTGGAATTTTCTAATCCAGAGAGCAGTGGAAGTTGAGTCATTTTCTATAGTTAAGGCTTTGATAGATTTTTTAACTTCAGTGAGTCTAGGAGTATGAGGAACAGGCAGGCAAGTGCAATTTAGGCCAAGATAAGGTCAGCCAGAATCTTATTGCATAATGGAGCAGGATTGAGGGACCTAAATGACCTACTACTTCTCCCATTTATGTTCGTTCTTTAACTCCCCCATCTGCTACTGAAACCTTTAACCATGTCCTTGTTATCTCCACATACAACTATTCTAAGGCACTTCTACCCGGCCCTCTGACTCTGAACCTTCCAGAAACTTAAGGTTATTCAAAAATCCACTGTCAGTGTTCTTATTCACACCAAGTCCCTTCCACCCATTACTCGTGTTTGCTAAACTACATTGACTCCTGGTCAAGCAACGTTTGTTTCAAAATTCTCATCCTTGTTTTCAAATCACTCAGTGGCCTCACCTTTCACTATCGCTGTAATCTCCACCAACCCATAATCCTCCAATATCTACCTTCCTTGATTTTTACCCTTTTCTGCATCCCCTCTTGTTACCCCACAGGCTAAACTGTGAAATTCTCTCCCTAATGTCTCTCCTCCTCTCTCTCCATTCCTTTAAGGAAGTTCTTTGAACCCTACCTCTTTAACACAGGTTTTGGCCATTTTTCCTACTTTCACCTGAAGTGGCACAGTGTCAAATTGGTCTTGTAAGACTTGTATGAAACATCTTGGAGCATTTTATTAAGTTAAAAACACTTTATAAATGCAAGTTCTTGGTGTTCCATCTATCCTGATGTTTGTGTTTATATTTTCTTTGTCTGGTTATGGCACAGTCTTAATGGGAAGAATCCATAACCAAACTTTGTGGCATTTGTGTTTCTGGGGTGCTGACATGCAACGTTGGGGCTAGAATGTGGCATCTCATGAGGACACCACGTAATTAACAGCCAATGATAACTAGATTCAGAAATCTTTTTATGTATTGGGAACAGTAGCTAGCAGTTGGAGGGCAATGTGAACAAATGTCAAATAATATTAAGGAAGCAAAGGACTGAAACAAGAAATTATCATTAAATTGAGAAACAGCGCAGCGTAAGGAATAGGAAAGAAATGTAAAGATACTGGATTAATTAAGAAACCGTCAGTTTAGTGTATAAGGTTGCAGTTGCAACAGTAAATGAACAGAGTATATATCGTGTATCTTGGCTGGACGAATAGTGTCAGATTTTACCTGGAACACACTGTTCACTTCTAATTATTACATCAGGATTATGAATAGAAGACCTGGGCTATGTGGTTTCACTGCTTGTAATAGGGAACCTCAGTGAAGTATTTGAACAAAATGAGCAGAAATGATAAATTTAAAATACTGTCTCAGACCAAAAGATGATAGGGCTACAAAGGAGCTGTTAGACCAAACTGACAATAGGGAAATTCAGAATGAGTACCAGCAAGATCTTTGGGCATCAAGTGATCAAACATGCAATGGACATCCTGGTAGGATAATCCATGCAATAGTCTTGGGATCAATTAAAGAACTAGGGAAATACAAGCCATGATAATAAATTATAGGAGCCAGGATAATAAATTATATGGGCAGGACTTTCTAATGTATATTTTGTGATTACCTTTGAGAAGTTATAGAGGTAGGAAGCAGTGGTATTTCAAATTAGAATTTAGGTTGAAGGAAGTACGTGGTGCTCTGAGATTTTGAGGCTGGAAACATTGCTGTCAAATTTTGCCCATACTGTTTCTCTAAAACAAAAAGGTACTTGCAAGATGATTTAGTTGAGGATTTGAAAATACAGTAAGTCAATAAAATTTGTTCAGGCAGAATGTTGAATGCGGTGGAAGGTTCAAATGGACGCCATAAGTTATGGTCAGTATATAAAGGTTCTACACAATTTGAGACTGAGCCAGCAACTTCAGTCAGCAGAAGACAAAATTAGCTGGCAAAACCAGATTTGTAACTTGGACCTTTACTTACAGTTAATACTTCAATTCAAAATGAGATGGAAATGCTTTGTCAAGTTTGTCCAAGATGTGATATTGAGCAGATCATACTGGTGTGTCATGGAAATTTGATCAAAGAGCTGGCGTTGTGCTCCGTACGTAGTGCAGGAGAAGACTCATTCGTATGCCTTACTTTGTTCCTTCATACCCTCAGCTCCCTGACTCAAAACCAAGCTGGAAACGGAACAGAGAAAGAAAGTAATCCAACCACACGAAGCAACAGCTCTGGCACAGAGACCCGTGAGAGACGCAGGTATCAGTTACCATGTTATTTTTATTCCTTTTGGGGGATGTGGACTTTGCTGGCTGGGACAGCATTTCATGCCCATCTCTCGTTGCCCTTGAGAATAGAGTGGGGAGCTGCCTTCCTGAACTGCAGCAGTCCATTTGGTGTAGGTACGCCCACAGTGCAGTTAGGGAGGAGTTCCAAAATTTTAATCCAGTGATAGTGAAGAAACAATGATATTTCCCAGTTACAGCCTGCAAAACACACATTGAGGTGAGGTTTTGAGCCTACAGACCTACAGTAGCGCGCCACTGTGCTGTGGAATGTTGGCCAATAACACACTGTTGGCCAATAATCCAAGACGTTATGAGGTTACTGGAACCCTGTTCCAAATGCTCCAATTTGAAAGGCAGTTCTTGCCACTTCCAGCATTTGCTGTTGACCGAGTAGAATCCCAAGTAAATAACTGTGGATTCGATTTAAATGTTGTCAAGTTTCTGTTTGGAGTTCCTAGCCTGTGCCAAGAAATAGTGCATCATTTGTAATAGGAGTGCAACCCATTGCAACAGGTCTCTGCGCCCTTTACCTCTCCCTAGAGGCTTTCAGACCGAGTGATGTTTAACAAAAGAATGTTGACGAGTGACGACCGTCACTGAATGTTGTGCGAGTGACTGCCACTACCGGTTCCTAAAAAGCATAATCTGAGAAACACACAGCGGAGCTCCTTAGCCTCATAATCTGAGGGGCAGTCCTTCATGGAATTAGCCAGCTTTTCCATTCAATCAAAAGCCAAATATGTCCTATAAAAGGTGTGCATAATTCTGTCCAGTTAGCTTTCATTGCAGTACAAGTAACACATTTATAACTTATTGATCTCATTTTTTTGCAATGTATGGTTCGGACATGTGTGAGTGTGGGTGAGATGTGGATGAGAAGGAAAATACATAGGGAGATATTACATGAATAAAGACAAGTATTGCACAAGTTGGAAAAAACAATGTTGGAAAAACTCAGTAGGTCTGATTGCATCTGTGTGTGAGAGAGAGGCAGATTTAATGTTTCAAGTCTGGTATGATCATTTCAAGGCTGTGGCTTCTTTCCCTGGGGGTTTTCTCCTTGTGAACATTGCAGTGTTGGCTTTGGAGTGATTACTGTTATGTCATGTTTCACTGTTTCCAGATCCTACCTCACTCCAGTCCGTGACGAGGAAGCTGAAGCACAAAGAAAGGCACGCTCGCGACATGCCCGCCAGTCTCGCAGATCAACGCAGGTGAGCATGAGACAGTTCAGCTTCATTTCCAGCATTTCTAAAGCTTCTACTGCCTTACTCGCAAATTCCTGTTATGCCAATATTCCGTGACAGGTCCAGCAATTTCTAAAATGTCATTTGGTTGCTGAAAAGCAGGATGTTTAACACAACAAAAAAAGACAAAGAACTGTGGACCCTGGAGATCTGAAACAAAAGCAGAAATTGCTGGCAAAACTCAGCCGGTCTGGCAATGTTTCTGCGAAGAAAGCAGAGTTAACATTTCAAGTCTGGTGCCTCTTGATCGGAGCTCTGTTCAGCATCCCCCACAGATGCTGCCAGACCTGCTGAGTTTGGCCAGCAATTTATATTGTTAAAACCAAAGCTTACTTTTTCCACCTGAAAACATGTTAGTTGTAGAATTAGTGTTTTACACAAAAATAATGGGATTATGTTGCCCTTAAATGTTTTCAATTGTTCTTTTAAGCCATATCGCAGATGCAGGTAGCTGTGTGCGTTCAATCTCACTTCACCAGCACCATAGCATTTCATCCACTGCATCCAACTCCTTCCTGGCACATACCTTGCAGTGTACTACCAAGCAGTTCCTCTTTATTCCTGAGTTTTCTGGTACAGGGTGTGACACTGACAGACCTGCAAGAGGCTGAGAAAACAATTGGATCGAGGCGGGACAAGAAAACTGCAGAGCATGAGAAAGATAAAGACAAAGAAAGAGAAAAGGAAGAAAAGGAAGCAGAAGCTAAAGATGCAGCATCCAAATATAGATATAGCAGGACCAGTCAAGATGAGGTGAGACCAGATGGCTGTATGTTGTGCTAACCACCTTTGTTACCTATAGAGGTCAGTATTCCATGACTGTCTTTGGTGCTGCCACTTCAAATCCTTTCATCCCTGCACTTGCTGACCTACATTAGCTCCTGTCTGGCAATGTCTCAAGTATCAAATTCTTATCCTTGCACTCAAATCCCTGTGTGGCCTTTCCCTCCTGTTACTGATATTTTCCTCTGGCCCCATAGCACTCTGAGGTAGCTGAGCTCCTGATTTTAGCATTTTGAGCATCCTCGAATTAAATTCTTGGTGACTGTGTTTTCAGCTGCCTCAACCATAAACTTGAGAATTATCCCCTTTTAACCTGTCAGCTTCTCTTTCTCCTTAAGTCGCTTGCCTATCTCGTTATGTGGCTCGGTGTGAAATATTGTTTCATAATTCCCCAGTGTAGCACCTAGGGATATTTCACAATCAGTGCCTTAGATTAATACAAGTTAATACATGCTTCATTACTCATTTTATAATGATTTTAGTTTATAAACTCTGGATTTGCTATGGAAAATTAATTTTCTAAAAGATGTTTGTCTGTTTATCTGTAGCAATTTAATTTTTAACTCTCCCTATTTTGTACTTTTTCTGTTAGACATCCCTGTGGATCTTTATTTTTGAAACCACTTTATGTAATTCAGTCTACCGTTGTCTCATACCCATCTTAGTGTTTTGTGAGGTAAAAGCATGAAGTTTGGTGGGGACCCTTCTGAAGAAGGGTCCCAACCCAAAACGTCAGCTTTCCTGCTCCTCTGATGCTGCCTGGCCTGCTATGTTCCTCCAGCTCCACACTGTGTTATCTCTGGCTCTGGCATCGGCAGTTCTTGCTATCTCTGAAGTTAGGTGACTCGTGGCAGCTGGGATTCAGGTGGAGCTCAGCCATGAACGCTTAGGGATCAAACCCATCCTTCTGCTTTTTCAGAAGGGTTCAGAATAAACTAAGCATTGAATTCTCAAAGCTTTATCTCACTCAAATTTTCTCATTAACAACTCTTTCCTATCTATAAGAAACTGATTAAATCCATCTTTGTCACAAGCATTTCATCCTCACCTCTCTCATGCACTGACTCTCGTCTGTCACTGTTCCTTTATTGTGATACATGTACTTGCTTTGGCTCTGTGGTTGCTCAGCTTCCTCTTCTATTGACATGTCTCAAAATGCTAGTGATTAATCACCAACTGTGTTCCTTTGCAATGCAGGAGAAGAACTGGCGGTCAAGATTAGCCAACCTGCAGAAAGCAGATCTATTGGGCCTCACCTCCTCTACAGATTCCAATCGTTCCAGTGTTCCTGCCTACACCTGCCACAATGCTGTGGAGCCACTAGACAACAAAGGTATCTCCAAACCTCTCGAGTGTGTTCATTTCTTTGCTTGATCCATAGAATCCCTGTGGAAACAGTCCATTCGGCCCAACAAGTCCACACGGACCCTTCAAAGAACATCCCATCCAGCCCCATCCCCCTACCCTATTCCTGTAACCCTGCATTACCCGTGACTAATGCACTTAACCTACACATCTCTAACTACGCATGTAACACTAGGGGTAATTTAGCATCGGCGATCCACCTAACCTACACAACTTCGAACTTTGGGAGGAGACCGGAACACCCGAGGGGAAACCCACGCAGACGTAGGGAGAACATGCAAACTCCACACAGACAGTTGCCCAACGGTCCCTGGTGCTGCGAGGCAGCAGTACTAACCACTGAGCCACTGTGCCTCCCAGTCTCTCCAAAACTCAGAACACCAGACCGTTTCATCAAATTGTTATTGCCACAGCAAAAAAGAGACAATTCACTAAAGGGTTTAAACTCTTGCAAAAAATCTTGCAGTACTAAAAGCCATTAATACGATTTATATACAAAAATAAACTTAAGATTTCTTACAACTCCCTGAGATCTGTGAACATTCAGTCTGAAATAGGAGAAATACTTTTTGCCAATCCAGCCAACTCTATCCAGAGTGCACATAGAATTATCTCCATATCTCCCATATTAGCTGTAATTAAGTAAAACTAACTGTGAAAAGGTATCTAGTTTTCTTTGACTAAAGGGCTATGGTGTGACATTAGGTTTTAACAAATTACATCTGCATTTCCCAATGAATAGTGAATATGATACTCATTGTCAAGGTTTAAATATGAAGGCTGATCTTTTGGTTGGAGTACCAGAGTATACCCCTGTGCAACTGCATCAGAGTCGAAGCCTTCACCTTTGAATACTGGCTGTCGTTACAGAATGTAGTCTAGTCTGGATTGGCCTTCACCTCCAAGGTGCTTTGTTACACCACTAGGCGCTACTTATGATTGCTGAATTGTGTCTCGGGGTTCTGCCGGTCATTATTGTGTGTTGAATTATTTCTGGGTGGCACGTACTAACCAGGGTCTGCTTTTTCTTCTGGATCCTGATTATTGTCACAAGAGGCGCAGTTTACCTCTGGGAGCGAATGCCATCGGTGTTTGCTGTTTGTCTCCAGTTAATGTGCATTGTCTCTGAAAGCTGTTGGGAGCTGGAGATTGAGCCCTGACACTGACATCCGTGTGATGTTGCTGGGCTGTTCCTGAATAGTTTGGATCTCTCCCACAGAATTGGAGAAAGCTAAAGAGGAGGAGAAGGAATCAGATGACTCGTCATTCAAAAAATCTGGTACCAGGGACCGGAGACGGCCAAGAGGGAAAAGAAGATCAACAGGTGTGCATTCCATATCACAAGATGTAAGTATTCTGAGAATCCTAAGCTTGTTCAGGTATACTGTTCAAAAGAAATATTGCTAATAGACTAAAACAGATCATTGCAATTCTTCACACTGAAATCAAACATACTTTTTATTTTCTATCTCCTCGATGCCCAAGCTGTCAACATATGCTTTCAATTTGCTATATTGTATTCTCTCGGTGGCCAGTTAGCTCAGTTGGCTGGATGACTAGTTTGCAACGCAGGGTGATGCTGACAACTTGGATTCAATTCTTGCACTGGCTAGGGTTACCTTGAAGGACTCTCCTCCTCAACCTCACCCCTCACCTGAGGCGTGATCATCTCTCTCTAATGGGAGATCAGCCCAATGGTCTGGTAAGACAGTGGCAACTTTACCTTTTACCCTTTACTATATTTTGTGCTCATAGTCAGTCTTCACTATGATGGGAAGACCAAATGCCATTTCGGTGACTGCTGCTCTGTAGAGCACCTCCGTTCAATCTTCCTAATTTTCAGGTTGCTTGCCATTTTAGTTCCATTTTGTTCTCATGCTCACGTTACTTTTCTCAGTCTGCTGCAGCGCTCCAGTGAAGGCCAATGCAAGCGTGAAGGCAACACTTCCAGTTGGGCACTTTGCAAATTTCTGATCTTAACTTAAACTCACCAAATTCAGGCTTGTATACTCTGTCCTCTATTTTGATTTGATTTTGTTTTTTTTTTAATTTGCCAAGTGCCAGTCTGTGTGGTGGTCTTGTATTTCTACTTTCACACTCAGCGGTCCTTTATTCGGCCATTAACTGTGGATCAATGTTTTGTTTCTTTACTAAAACCATTATAAGTTTGACATTTAATCTCTTCTGCCCTCTAACCCTGACCTTTCTCTTTGGTTTTACGTTTTTGAAAAAAGGTAATCAGATTTCTGCCTCTCTTCAGTTTTGAAGAAGAATCACAATGGACTTGAAATGTTTCTTTGTTTCTCTCTCCACACCTGATGAGATTTCCAGTGCTGTTTTTATTTTAGACATGTTGGTGCATTTTGATAATCAATTTTATGCATATTTCCATTTAAACTAATTGTTATCAACTCTGGTGTCACCTAGAGTGCACAAAAAGAAACAGGATTAACATGAATGAAGAAACAGTAAGTCAAAGAGTCTGCCAGCTGGGATAGATATTTTGCGGGATTCCGCAGAAAGAATGCTCAGTGAGAAGGGAAGGACCAAAGAATGGCAAATGCCTTCAAAATCGGTGGTACACATGCAGAAAACTCCGGTGACCGTAGCCTCGGTAGTTACAGATTTCTTTTTTGGTTCATCCATGCACTTTTCTGAGGAACACCCTTAGATTGGGAAGCTGATTAGATCATTGTGAATCACTGATGGGTGCTTATGTATGTCTGCTTTTGTACTGTGATGTGAGATGTCAAATCTTGTTCATTATTCATGAAAGCATTTGAGAATCTCAGAACTTAAGTGCTAGCAATGACCAAATCAAAAGTAAAAATCAAAGCAAGCAGCTAGAAAACTATCAATGACAGTCTGCTAAGTACTGAGGGGAAAACTGCCATTTCTGAATGACTCCTCAAGAGACTATACCAAAAGGAAGCTAAAAATGAGCTAATTGCATCATTCACACATTATTTGATCGTTATTGAAATTTCTAAGATTTAAAATAAGTTTCTTGAACCTTAAAATTACAGATTTCGCAGTAACACGGCTATATTTAGCCAGCTTTTGATACCTATTTGGTCAAAACGCCATAGCTGGTGCACAGTTATCTCTGAGTAAGAAAGTTATGGGTGTGAGAGCCATTTTAGTGCAATGCCAAATGAGTGTTGATAATCGTGTTTGAGATAAGACGTTAAAGTGAGGCTCTGCCTTCATGTCATATGGACGTAAAAGATTCAAATGCAGTGTTGCCGGTGCTCTGAGTAGCCTTTCTGTTCTGCCAGAATCAGCTCTTCTAGTCAATCATTTGTTTCCTTTTTAGACCATTTTAATCATTGCCATGTTTGTTAACCCAAAAATGGTCCACTTCAAAAGTAGTTTGCTTGAAGTGCCATCAGGACGTGCTTAGGTTTTACATAAATACAAATTATTTTTTATTCTTTCTGTCTTTACCTAAAAGTCCCTGCCCCTCCAGATGTCCTGGCCTTGGACTTTAATGCCTTTGCTGAGAGCTTATTTAGTTAGAGACAGATTTGATGGTCTGACATGGTGCTTAACGTTACCCAGGTTGTGTCGGTTGCAATTAGTGAGCTGAATAGATTAAATACGTCTCTTCAGTTTCTTTGTTATGTTGTGCTTATTTCAAAGAATCAACCACAGGACTCTTGAGTACAGGTTTTTCAATTGTTTATTAAAATCTACACAGGGAGAAGGAGTAGCTAGAATAACTCTGAGGAATACAGGAAAATGCAGTATATTCATACTATTGTTTTGTCATGTGGGCATCTCATTATTCAAATTCCACTCTTGCATTATACAAACAGAAGAAAAGATGCCCATTCTAGGAAAGTATCATTAGTATCTTCTTCACCTTGTCAAGGATCATTTGGTCTGGTACTGGTTTGGCCCATTTCTTATGAGTGTGTGTCACCTCCTTGTCTCTGAATTGCTTTTGCCCCCAAGGCCTTTGTTTGGAATATTTTGTCAACACTAACTGTTGTTCATATAGATTCCTGTTGACACTTCTAGAGTGCACAAGGTTCATCTGGTACAAGCTTCTGCTCTTTAGTTTGACTGTGAAAATAAAAACTCCTGTTTAACCACTACAACCTAATTTCCTCCCAGTGTTTTTTTTAGCTACTTAGCTACTTTTCAAAATTATTTGAAGGAAATCTGGAATGCAAATTTTGAAAGCTTTATCCAGGAATAAAAGTTGAAAAATGCCATGTAAGAAGAAAAATAATCTATTTCAAACAAGATAGAGTTTACTAATTAAACACCCACCCTATCCTTTCTTTAAAAAAAAAACAGATCTGTGGGCAGTCGAGCAAGTTCACAAATTCACAAGTATAACTGAGCTAAGAAGTTATAACTACCAGGAAAGACTAAACGAATTGGGAAAAGAGAAGACCCAGGAGAGAGACCTTTGATATAACTTAAGGGTTTGATCGGTAAAAGTGGACAACGTGTTTCAGATTGTGGGACAGGTCAAAACTATGACCACAAACATAGCATAGTGTCTACAGATCCAATAGGGAATTCAGGAGAAACATGTTTATCTGCATGATTAAGAATAAGGAACTTGCTGTCATGTGGAGCCATTGAGGCAAATAGCATTGGTGCACTTAGGGAGATGCAAATGATGGAAAAAGTAATTGAATGGGGTACTGTTAGGATTAGATAAAATATTCTGAAGGCAAAGGAAAGCTGGCATAGACTCATGGGCTGAATGATCTGGTTTTGAGCTGTGGATCAATGTAATATTAAAAATCCATGATGCTATTATCATCTCTTAAAATGGAGAGGATTGATTTCTGTGCTAACACAGAGATTCCAACAGTACTGTTTCAACTTCTCACTGAATGTTTCTGAACAAAATTACACTAATGATATTATGCACTTGGTTCTGTTTGAAAATTGTTTTAACGGAGTCACTTTTGGAATTCTTTCACCGCTATCGCTGAGATATCAAAAGGGAGCAAAGATTGCCTGGGCTATTGAACTTAGTGAGTGGAAGAGAAATTTGACTGACATGTCAAAACTCACCATATCTGCTCCTGAAACACTAGCGCTGATCACGTAAAGGAGTCTGAATTTGGAAGTAGATTGTGGTCCATCACTTGATACTGGTTCCAGGGATCGGATGATCTGTTTACATAAATGTTCTCTCTTTCTTTCTCTCTCTCTCTCTCTCTCTTCCCCCCCCGCCCCTCTCTCTCTCTCTCGTTAGGATGACAATGACCAGGATAACTCTGGTGAGGATGTGGTGGAATCTGAGAAGAAGCAGGTATGGATCATTTTGGCTGCAAAATCTGCAATACCAGACTAACATAAAGTAGCTGCACTGCTGTGTGTTGGACCATTGTCTGATGTATCAGAGCTCTGTAGGGAGGTGTCTGTATTAAAGGTCTCTTGCTTTCGCTCGCTGTCTCATTTCATATTTGATTTGTCTCCCTGCTTAGCCTCTGTCCACCACAGTGGTTATTTGTGGACTAACTAATCCACAGACAAATGATATAAGGTCATTGGTTCAAATACTACTGTGGGACTCGATAGGAAATTTTAAATGAAAACAAATTTAGATTAAGATGAAGGGTATGCAGGTTAGTTTGAACTTAGAGTAGGATAATAGGTCAGCACAACATCATGGGCCGAAGGGCCTGTACTGTGCTGTACTGTTCGATGTTCTATGTTCTCTGTTTTAAGATGTTAATAAGTGTGATGGTGACTGTGAAATATCAAACTGTGATAAAATTTCATCTATTCTGTTGATAGCCTTCAGCTGCAATCTTAAAAATCCATGATACTATTCTCTTAAAATGGAGATGATTGTTTTCTGTGCTAACACAGAGATTCCAACAGTACAGTTTTAATTTTTCATTAAATGGTTTCTATATAAAATCACATTAATGATATTCTGCACTTGGTTCTGTTTGAAAACTGTGTTTTAATGGAGTCAGCTTTGGAATTCTTACACCGCTGTGTCGACAATCATTCCTCACTTTGTTGACTTTATCTGGTGTAGTCAACATGTGATTTCAGACTGACTATGTGATGAACTGCCCTCTGAACAGGCTGAGAAAGCTATTCCATTTCTCAAACCACTAAAGAACCAATAAGAAGAAAACCAGACTGCTTTTCAGATTGAAATATAAGACATGACATAGAAACAGTTCTAGGCGTCTGCACAAAGTTCTCCTCACTAATATCTGGGGACTTATGCTAAAATTGGAAGTGCTTTCTCCCAGACTAGTCAAGCAACAGTCTGATATAATCATACTCACCAAAACATACCTTACATACAACATCCAAGATGACCTCCATCCTTGCTTTGTCCTGTCCCACCAGCAGGACAGACCCATCAGAGATGGCAGCACGGTGATGTCTCGTCAGGAGCAAGCTTCGTGTATTTTTTCTTGTTGCTGCACAGACCTCCGAGGTTTGCGCTCAGCAACAGCTTTTGCTTGCTGGAGCTGTGTCTGTGTGATAATTGGTGTGTGTGTGGAGCTTCCCATTGGCTGCACAGCTTAGAAAGAATGTTGGGCAGAAGGGAATGGTCTCGGGGATTTTCAACGTTGATTCCAGATCCCGTTAAGTCTCACGGCATCAGCTCAATCTTGGGCAAGGAAATCTACTCATTACCTCCTCCCACATGCAGCTGAGGCAGTCATCTGTACTTAACATCATTTTGAAGAAGTGCTGAATGTCGCAAGGCCACAGACTTCACCAAGACTGGTCTTGTAACACTACTACTGACTAAGCTGGGAAAATTCTGAAGGCCATAGCTGCGAGACTGAGTCTGCAGCAGTGATGGGGGAAACAATCAGAGGAAAGAACCTCCTTAACTTTAGCCTTGCCATTCTACCTGCTATAGATTATAGACAAATAACAGTATTGGCAGGATTAACCAGTGCCAATCCTTGTGGTGCCAAAATTATGCTTTCAAACTGTGGATGCCTTCCATTGTTTAGTGTGACACTAACACTGCTAAGTGAGATGGATCTAGACCAGATCTAGTAGCTCAGGACTGGGCATCATGTGGGCTGTGACACAGCAGAATTGTATTTGACCACAATCTGCAACCTCATAGCCAGACATGTCCCCTACTGTATCATTACATCAGTGTAGGAGGTCCACCTTGGTTCAGTGCACAGTGCAGAAGGGCGTACTAGGAGCAATGCTAAACACACCAAAAAATGAGATGCCAACCTGGTAAAGCTACTACACAGGAATGTTTGCATACCAAAGCAGTATTCATTAGACAGGACTAAGTGATCCCACACAAATGGATGCTCTGCAGTCCTGTCATGTCCAGTCATGGATGCTATTGGACTGTTAAACTACGAATGGGAAAAAGAGGTGTCATGAATTACCCTGTGCTTGATGAAGGGACAACCTAAAATTTTAGTGCAAAAGACAAGGCTGTAACATTAACTGGAGGTGCTGAGTAGATGATCAATCTCTGCCACCTCCTCCCAAGGTCTTTGCAGATGATATTGTAGATGTCAGTCTTCAGTCAATTTGATTCACAACAAATGATCTTAAGAATTACGTAGCATACTACTTACAGAAAACCTCCCAGCAACATCTCAGCTATACTGCTGAAGACTTGTATTAGGAACTAAGATTGTCCCAGTACAACTATAACACTGCTATTTCCTAAGTCAACGTTGCAAATTGTATATTGCCCTCACAAAGTGAGGTAAATCCGATCTTGCGCGTTTTAAAATTTGTTTATGGGATGTGATGCACCAACAGGTTCAAGAACATCTTCTTCTGTGCTGTTATTAGACTGCTGAATGGACCCCTCCTAATTTCAAATAACGTCGATCTTGCTAACATTGATCCTAGTTTGTGTAACTCCTGAGCAGCTGTAACCTTGTATGCCTCGCTCTGCCTAAGCAGGTGGATTGTAGCGGTTCAGGTACACTCCTCACTACCACCTTCTCAAGGGCATCTAGGAACGGGCAATAAATGCTGGCCAGCCAGCAACGCCTGCCTACCACAAAATGACTAAATAAATAAATAGCATCTGATCTGTATGTCCTGTTTGCTACGATCTGCCTGTACTGCTTGCAAAACAAAACATTTCACTGTATTTAAGTACATGTGACGACAGTAAATCAAATCAAATTTATTGTCCATCCCTAATTGTCCAGAGGGCAGTGAATAGTAAACCACATTGCTGTGGGTCTGGAGTCACGTGAGCCAGATCAGATAAGGACAGCAGATTTCCTTCAAAAATGGAAGGGATGTTAGCGAACTAGAAGGGTTCTAACAACATTTGACCGTGGTAACATGGTCACCAATAGGCTAGTTTTTTTTTAAATTCCAGATTTCTTTTTATCATTGAATTCAAATTTTACCATCTACCATGGCATCAGATCCCATGGCCCAGAACATGAGGCTTTTGGATAATGAGTCCAGTGACAACACCATTGCCCCACTACCACCTCCAATTACTGCCTTATCAGTCTAATCTCAAACATCAGCCAACTGATGAAAGCTGTCATTGGCTATGCTATCAATTGGCATTTAATCACTAATTATTTATTCACCAATGATCAATTTGGTTTATGCTATTTGGTCCCAGTCATCATTACAGCCATGGTCCAAAAATGAACTGAAGTCCTGGGATGAAGTGAGAGTGACTGCCATTAACATGAATGTGGCAAAGTTTATGTCAGTGGGAATCAGGGAAAACTCTCCACAGACTCAAGATATAGCTTGCACAAAGAAGGATAGTGGTTGTTGGAGGTCAATCATCCCAGTCCTGGAATATCACTGTAGCAGTTCCTCAGGATAGTGTCATGGATCCATCCATCTTCAGCAGTTGCTTCAGTGAATAGTGTGCCATGAGAGCAAACCTGGGATGTTCACTGATGATTGCCCAGTATTCAGTTCCTTGTGCAACTCCTCAGATAATGAAGCTACCTGTGCCCACATACATTTAAGATTTGGACAACATTCAGGCTTGGGCTGATAGGTGACAAATAACATTTGTCACACCAATGCCATTTAATGAACATCTCCAAAAGAGATTCTAACCATCTCTTGACATTGAGTAAGAAATCCAAGGGTCCCAACCCGAAACGTCAGCTTTCCTGCTCCTCTAATGCTGCCTTGCCTGCTGTGTTCCTCCAGCTCCACACTGTGTTATCTCTGACTGCAGTTCTTACCGTCTTAGGATGTTGCTGGTCGGAAATTCAGAGGCTTACCATTGATCATAAAAATTACTAAATGAGTCACATAAATACTTTGTCTACAAAAGCAGATCAGAGACTGTGAATTCTGTGGCAAGTAACTCACCTCCTGACTGCCCAAATTCTGTCCTCCACCAAAAACATAGGAAGTTCCACAGTATCTAGGAAAAAGTAATTGGCTGCATGGGCACCCCATCCACCATCTTAAATGGTCAACTCCCTCTGACATAGTGGCTGTAAGGTGTACCGTCTACAAGATGGACTTCAATTTGCAAGTCTTCGTCACCATCTGTTGCATGTCTTTCAAGCGACGCATACATTCTAACTTGGAACAATATCACTGTACTTTCACTGCTGCTGGTTCAAAATCTTGGAACTTCCTTGCTAACGTTACATTGAATGCTAATATCACCACATGGACTATGTGGTTCAAGAAAGTGGCTCAGTAGGGAGGGCAAAAAATACTGGCCTGACCAATGCACAAATAAAATGGGATTTAGTACATAATTTGTGAGCTGGTTGGTCTTCTTCCTGTGCCAGACGATGTTTGATACAGAACCACACAATAGACTTATGAGAAAAATTATGTGTCATGGTATAAAAGGGACAGTGGCAATGCGGATACATATTTGACTGAGGGATAGGAAATGAAGAGTTATGGTCAGTGGACATATTTCAGGCTGGAGGAGGGTTTGTAGTGGAGCTCCCTAGAAGTCCGTACTGAGGGTTGTGCTTTTCCTGTTGATATGAATGATCTAGATCTTGGTGTACAGTGGACAAATTCAAAATTTGCAAATGACACTAAACTTTGAAGGATAATGTGGAACTCCAAAAGCTGTCTCAAAATTGATTTCCCTTACTCTGGGTTATTGTATGTCATTCCCCAGCCTGAACCTGATGATACAGCGATTGCTGTCTCCTAAATACACCTCCACTGACACTTGATCTGCTCGGTCCACCTCCTTAACAAGGACACTAACTCTGTTCTTTGAAACATCTACAGATGTTGCCTGATCAGATGTATTTCAGACGTTTTCTGGTTTTATTTCAGATTTCAGCATGTACAGTGTTTTACTTTTACTTTTGTATTGATGCTAAATGGGAGTTAATAGAGAGTTAGCAGTGTGTAGGATAGGACGGAGGCATTGCTTTTGAATTAGTTAAAGTTTATGGAGGGTCCGTGTTTGGCAGAAGTGTTGCCATAATGTAGTCTGAAGGTGAGTCCAACCTGAATGAAAAATTATGTAGCAGGTAGGCCAGATCAGGACATGGATTGGAGATGCTGCAATCAAGATGACCAATATTTTGAATGACCAACCTTGGCCAAGGGTCTTCTGAGAATGTTTTGGGAAAGAAGTTATTAAAGAACTGGAAATTATAGCACACCATTAACAGTGAGAGATGCTTAATAAATTTCATAAATTCAAATGTGGTGGGGGCAGGAGTTATGTCTCTCCAAATGTATGAATTGTTTCTTGCTTTTAAATTATTTTTCACACTTTATTTATTTGCGACTTTATTCTCACATTGTATTCTGTTTTTCTGTTGCAGATCGATTATCTAAACAGGTAAGGATTCTGTCTCCGTCATTCCTGACAGTGCTATAGCTGAGAGAGATTCTGTCTTCACCTAACATCGACAGATGTTCTGTCTAATTGAGATCACTGGCTCATGTTTCCAACTCCAAGGGCAGATTAACCATAGAATCCCAGCTGCTGTGCTGGATGAGATCCCCCAGGCTCATCAGAGAACCTGGACTGAACAGCAGTGAGCTGTTGGGGGCTTCAGCATTGATCAGCTAATGTAGACTGAGTAGTCTTTCACATACTTCATTGTCTTGTAATAGGTTGCTCCATTTGCGTAGTTCCCTATCACATTGGATCATATATTTTACTCTGAGGTCTTCAGGGCCTTTCCAAAGTATCCATGATGGTGAATCTTTGAAGATCTCCATGTTGGTGACCATTAGTCCTTTTGTCACCACTCAATGAGTCGAAGGCCTGCAGAAATCTTGGTTGAAGACTTGAGTTCTGATGGTTTCTGAGACACTTGGGGTTTATGCACTGGTTGTTCGAACACTGATGAGAAATTTAGCTGGCTTGGCCACTTTGTTGTGATCAGTCTTTATAATAGATGAACTGCAGCATGCTGTGAACCAGATAGCTGCTCTCATGACTCAAACGTAACAAATATAGCAGCTAAGTCAATAATGTGACCATGGGCTTGTAAGTTGATTATGTCTGGCACATGTTGCAGGTACTGATAGATAATAGGATTCAGAGGTCATGGAGTAAATGGCAATAAAAGAAGTGATAATATTTTAGAAGGTGCATTTTAATAAGAGCTATATAATAAGTTTTGAAGTTTATAGCACCTTGTACTTTTGATGCCTGCTATTGTCAAAGTATAGAACAGTGCAATGGAGAAAAAGCAGGAAATTGGCACTAAGTAATGATGCATGTTTGAAGAGCCAGTAGTGGCATGATTGGCTGAATGGCCATTTCAGCACCTTAACAATTCTTTGGTCCTGTTGCACTTTATACCTAATGACTGGATCCTCTGTCAGTGGTCCTGAAACACACAAATGTTGGTTGAAAAAGGATACTTTGGAATTTGATGCTTTATTTCTGTCTCTATTGCCTTCACTTACAGGGGATATACCACAGGAAGCAGTCAAGGACATCTTGCGAACAAAGAGGCGACTTCATACTTGGACACTGGCTTGCAACCTACTCAAATAGATCAAGCGGAGATTGAGACTGATAAAAGAGGCTACAGAAAGGTAAATACGGAGCTCTAACTAGATCTTCATTTAAGATGTAATGTTTATATCCCTTTGTGTCATTGTCCCTCGCTATCTCTAATATTCTACATCCTAATAGATACTCCTAGAACTTTCCTTTCTTCGAACTGGTCTTAAGAACCTTTAGAGACTGTTCACTTTTAACAAAGATGTTTGAGTTCCCAGTGACTGACTTCTAGCAATGGCATGGCAAGATTTTGAGTTTCAAGATTTTTACTGTGCTGAACCAATTAAAAGCGACATTGATGAAACTTTCCCTAGAAAGCAATTAATTAATTATAGAAAAGATAACCCTTATTGATCGCATAATCGATAACCTCTCATTGTGAACAATCATGCTACATTCACATTCTCTAAAGTCACTGCTAGCTTCCAGCGGGTTCATAGATTCATATAGCTCCAAAAAGGCCAAACTTCCTCTGTACCCACCCCCATCACATCCTTCTTGTTTAAGGTGACCAGAACTGCACATAGTCCTCCAACTGTGACCTGACCAATATTCTGTACGACTCCTACATTACCTCCTTGCTCTTATACTCTGTGCCATGACTGATGAAAGCAAGTGACCCATGTGCCTTTTTAACTATCCTATTCGCGTGCTTCACTGACTTTAGCGATCTGTTAGTAATTACCCCTGGATCCCTCTGTTCCTCTAAGTTACCCAGTTTCCTGTCATTCATTAAATACCCCCTCATCTCGTTTCTTCTTCCAAAGTGCACTAACCAGGATTAAATACCATCTGTCTCTAGTCTGCCCATCTGCCCAACTCATCTTTCTCTTCCTGTAACCTACAACCATCATCTTCGCTATTAACCACTTTACAATCTTGGCGTCATCTGCAAATTTTTTAACATTCCCCCCACATTTTCATCTCTATCACTTGTGTATGTTACAAACAATAAGGGCCCCAGTACTGATCCTTCTGGTCCACCACTGGGCACCAGCTTCCAGTCACTCAAATGCCCTCTACCACTAGCCTATGTGTCCTATTACTAAGGCAGTTTCTGCTCCATCTCACCAAGTTTCCCTGAATTCCATGTGTTTTAACCTCTTCAATCAGTCTCCCTTGTGGGACCTTGTCAAAAGCTAAAATCCATTTTACTGCATCAACTGAACTTTCCTTATCCACATACTTAATCACCTTTTCAAAAAATTCTGACAGATTTGTTAGGCATGACCTTCCTCTGACAAAGCCATACTGACTATTCCTAATTAACTCATGCCTTTCCAAGTGGGTATTAATTTGCTCCTTCAGAACTATCTATGATGGTTTCCCTGCCACTATCGAAATGCATTTCCCTCAGTTTTTCAGTGAATTACTGAATGGGCTACCAGCAGTAAGGCACTCTCCAGTGATTCCCCTTCCAAATTTTCCTGAGACAGACCTTCGAGATTTTTTTAATTTTATTCATTCATGCGATGAGGCGTCGTTGGCTAGGCAGCATTTATTGCACATCCCTAATTGTTAAGAGTCAACCACATTGTTGTGGGTCTGGAGTCATATGTAGGCCAGACAAGGTAAGGATGGCAGTTTCCTTCCCTAAAGGACATTAGTGAAACACTGGGGTTTTCCTTGGGATGTGTCTCTTTCAGCAGAGAGTCCCTCCTGCATTCTGCCTGAACGCTCCTAGCCTTCCGTTTCTGATGACCACACATCTCCAGGCTTTTATTTCTGTGAGACCTCTCTCTTTCTGACACACTTTTGTTCTTTCCAAAAAAAACCTTAAGAGACTCGAAGCATCTCCACTATCATCCCACTCCTCTTGCACTTGTTTTGTGTGTGAAATACGGCACGTGGATTCCAATAGCCTTTGATCTCAGCCTCCCCATAGTAACTAATCCTTACAAGTTTGCTGTTGTTGAACAGAAAGCATAGCAGATCACACAATTTTCCTCATTATTCCACTTCACCTTGAATTGAAGAAACTGTCCAAAGTATAGTCATCTTTTCAAGCCTTGTGTTGAGAACACTGCTGTTGTACATCCTCCCTGTCCTTTTACTCCACCATTTATAGCTATGCCTTCAGTCTCTATATCCTGGGCTCTGGAACTGCCCGCTGTAAACGCCACTGCACTGCCGCATTCTCCTCCCTTGGAACTCTGCTTTAAACCCACTTCTGACCATTATTTTGTTCATTCCTTCTAGCTTCTCCCTCTTTAGCTAAACACCCATTTTTGTATGATCGTGTTTCTATGAAATGCTTTATTTGTGTTTTAGTACTTACTGCTATCCCAGTCTATTTTCCAACTTCAGCTCATTTGACTATTTTTTGTTTCCACGAACTTTTATCTGGTTTTGCTGATCACCTGCCTATACTAGCTGTAATGTTACGCTCTGGAACTGTGTCTCTTTATCGTATCATTCCCCATATTACTGCTCTGAATGCACACATCAGTTGTTTTCTTCTGTTTACTTCCTCCGTTGATATGGTCCTGCACCCTGTGTTTGGAAGCAGATCCAATTTTTTTCTGTGCTTTTCCTCTTCTGTCTTCAAGTTGGTGCCTCAAAGGTTGAATGTTTGACATACTCTTCTCTCTCTGTCATAAACATAACCTTAACCTTCATATAGCAGTTACCATTCCAAACTATATTTTGATCCTCATCTGCTCTGCCAGTTCCTGTGCATAATATCTATCCCTAGAGTGCTTCTGCTCAAGTAGCATCGCTGATGTGATGCTGTGCTACATTGCTGATCAGAAACGTGGCTTGGAAAACCTCATCTCTGTCTTTCTATGTAACAGCTGTATGAAGAGCTTCAAAGAAAGAATGTCCAGCTTCGAGATCAACTGCAGGAGGTGCAGATGCAGATCGCACAGAGAAAGCTGGAGCTAGAGAAGGCCACGCAGGTAAGCAACTGTCCCCTTAGATTGCACTCGCAGATAGAATTTAATTGTTAGGTGTCAGTGGGATCAATGCATTGTCAATGAAATCAGGATGAGATTAATGAGTGCTGTGTCCTCAATATAAGCTTCGGAATTGGTAGTGATGGCTTTGCACCAGCATTTGCAATTTTCTATTAACTGTCAGCACACAGTTCTGATAACTCTTGTGTGCTTACAACATGTCCAACCTCTCCTATTTATTCACGCACACAAACAGCTTCCATTTCCGAGCCCAGAATCATGCTGCAATGAGGGAATGTACTTTCTGTTTATGTGCCATGATCACAGAATTACTTTGGAAACATGTGAAATCTCTAGGGTTAAAGAGGTATTTAGATACTGCCAGAACTGATACAGCTGCTGTCCTGGAAATGTTGGGCTTCAGTTTCTTTGATTCTCAAACTGGAGGATAGATTTGACAGCACTTTGATACAAAGTACACGCAGGGACGTGGCAAGTACAGAGGATGTTCTTAACAGACACTCTTCATCTTTGTCCCATAGCCATCCTACTCAGTGGAGGTTGCAGTTTATAAAAGCCATGTTGAGTCAACCCTTCTGAAAGAGGAAACCAGCCCAGCAATCTTTAAGAAAAGGCAGCAGGTAGTCACCCCAACATCTTGGGCAAAAAATAACAGAGGCAGACAGCTCATTCTCCCCACCCTGGGAAGAAAGGTTGGCAAGTTGACAGGCCAACAAAACGCCTGCTCCATAGCCATAAAAGTGCTGCAGGCATGCTCAATAGAAGCAGAGTTGGTCTTAAGCCCTTTACTGGGAGAAAGCCCCACTGTATGAAGCTGGCAGTCCATCAGATTGACTCGCAGCTCCTGCAAGCCCAGAGATGCCAGAACCCCATAATGGGTGCTCTCAGGACTGCAGGCAGGCAGGTCGACAATGGAGGCGTAATGGATGCTAGAGTGATGTAAGCCAGAGGGGAGCTTTGTGCCAGGACGTACTTAACACTTAAGGAGGAGGGAGGTGGGGTGATGGGTTTTAAATTTTGTGTGGGTAGGCAGGAAGAGATTCTATTTCCATCAGTGTTACTATTTCCACAGTAACTCTGGATTACGCTGTCCCCAGTGTGCAATGGGCACACATAGCCCTTTGCCCTGATGATGGATCTCCTCCCTTCGATTTTAAACACTTTTTGAAAACAAGAGGGAGTCCTACTCTTGCCCACCTGTCCATGTTGATCATATAATGGCTGAGCATAGGATAGATTATTTGTTTACCTGTGGTGGGCACGCTGCTGATTTTGAGCCCACCCACCACCTGTGATGGGGCTGAGCTCAAAAATGGGTAGGGAGCTGGTGGGCTGGGCACCTACCCTGTTTCGCACGGCCCCATGCCAAAAGCACGTACAATGGCGTTGAAAGAGAAGTGGATATTGTTGAGAAATCCTGCTCAAACTGTAACAAAGAGAATACACTGGAATAAAATATGATCCTAGTTCCCCAGAAGAGGCTCATAGCCTTTAAAGTTTAGAGAAATGAGAAGTGATCTCATTGAAACTACTAAGATTCTGAACATGTTTGGCAGGGTAGATACAGAAGGCCTGGTTTCCTTGTTGGAGAGTTCAGAAATAGGAGTCACACTGTCAGGGTTTGAGAACAGCCATGTCAGACTAAGGTTAGGGAAAATTTATTTCCTCATAGGATTGTGTGAATCTTTGGAATCCCGAATTCCAAACAGTACAGAATACTCGGTCATTGAATATACTCACAATGGAAACCAAGGAATGTGGAATTGGTTGGAAAAATAAAGTTTGGGCTAAATTTTTGATCTTATTAGTCGGAAAAGCAGTCTCAAGGGCCTGTCTGATCTATTCCCATCTTGTTTCTTTTTAAGAGATAGTAGGAACTGCAGATGCTGCAGAATCTGAGATAACAAGGTGTAGAGCTGGATGAACACAGCAGGCCAAGCAGCATCAGAGGGGCAGGAATGCTGACGTTTTGGGCCTAGACCCTTCTTCCTGCTCCTCTGATGCTGCTTGGCCTGCTGTGTTCATCCAGCTGTACACCTTGTTATCTCTTGTTTCTTTTTAAACTCATTTGCGGATCGATGAACTTGGTGTTGGATTTTCATTTAAGCTGGTGACTGAATGTGCTTTCATGGTGGATGAAGTACAGTAAGACATCACAGCTTTGTACGGTCCAAGTATGAAAGTTCAAAGGAAACACTGGGGGAACAGGTTGGGAACTTGCAAATTTTTAAATAAATTGTTATTTAGTCACCATTGGTAGATTGAAACTGATACGTTTACAGGCTCCGTCTCATGCTTCTAACCTGTTTTGTCTTATCATAAGTCATGAAGGAAATGACCATTGTAGAAACTTTGCGGGATTGTACAGAATCACAGCCCTTTTCAGACTCCTTGAAGATATTTGATTAATTGATTTAAACAATCCAGCAGTGTGTTTTATTCAACTCGAAGCATTGCTGCATGTCTGTTACATTTTCCGGTGCAGTCCAGGCGTGATATGTTGGTACCATCAGTCAAGGATCACAAAGTGTCCTTGGTTGCCCTCAGCCTATTCGTCCAGTTATCCAGAAGCAGTTGCCCTGGATCCATTTGCCAGACTAGACAGGAGTAAACCATTGAAGTGATAACAAAATATTGTAGCTGTTAGAAACATAAAATAAACCAATATGCTAGAAATACTCAGCATTGGCAGCATGTGTGGACAGAGACATCAGTAAAGGTTTTTGACAGTTTGTCAAAGTAGTGATGAACCCAAGTCTGATCAAAGGTCAGTGACTTGCATTTTTGAGAATCAACCACTTTAGAAGAAAGAAACAGAAATCTTTTAGGTATCAGCCATAATTCAGTTGATAAAATTCTTACCTCTGAACCAAAGGTTTATTAGTTCAAGTTCCATTCCAGTGACCTGAGCACATTCTAGGTTGCCACTTCCTTGCCGTGTTGCACTTTTAATGGTGCTATCTTTTGGAGGGTTCATTGAACACACGCCCTGCCCATCAACTCAAGGCAGACGTACAAGATGCCTTAGTACCTTTGCACAAGGATGGACCAGTTCTCCTTATCATCTTAGACAGTATTTGGCTTTCAAATAAATTGTTGAAATAAGACTGTCTGGTCACCAATTGCTTTGTGACACCTTGTTGTTTGCAAAGTGGTTGCTGTATTGTCCACGGAATAGGAGTTACTATGCTTCAGAGCTACTTAATGACTTGGGATGTCCTGTGGTTATGAAAGGCACTAAATAGAAGGCTTTTTTTTTTTTTAAGACTTTCTGTAAATGTTCATCCTCCTTCAAAAAAGTTATGAAGGCAAACAAGACCTCATTCACATGTTGGATACACCAGGGCTCTTTGCTTGTAGGTAGATGTCACCCATGATGAGAAGAAAATGGCATGATGCTAGAAGATAGTGACAGGAAGCAGCTATGGCAGACTAAGCTGGAAGGATTCTGTCATTGATATTCTCCCTTGGGTGAAATTTTACTATCCAGAACACTATAAAACTAAAAATAAAATTAAACCAACACATTCTGTCCTCACTACTCCTTAATGTGTATTGTATAGACTTACCACTTACACTGACTTTTTTTGATCTGCCTATTTATTTGTTGGTTTTACAGATGCAAGAAAGGTTCGCAGACAGAACTGCCCACTTGGAGATGGAGAAGAAAGTGAGTAGAGGACCCTCAAAGTAATGCTGGAAATGGATGCAGAGCACCTGGAATTATGAGAATGGGTACAGGGTGATGGCTGATATTGGCAATTAGTAATTCTGAGAGCATTATAAATTAAGAGGTGACGCTGGATATGTGAATGAAGAAACAAGAACAAAATAGAAAATGCCAGAAATACTCATCAGATCAGGTAGTGTCTGTTGAGACAAACAATTAACATTCAGATAGGTGATTTTCTGTTAGAACTGTTAGCTGAGTTGTCTCTGAATTCACTTCCAATCCACATCAGAAACTGATCATAGAATCCCCACAGTGCAGATAGAAGCCATTCAGCCCATCGAATCTTCAAAGAGAATTCCACCCAGACCCACCCTCTCCCTATAACCTTGCATCAACCATGGCAAATCCACCTATCCTGCACATCCCTTGCCACTGGGCAATTTAAAATAATCAATCTAACCTGCACACCTTTAGATTGTGGGAGGAATCCGGAGGATATCCATGCAGACATAGGGAGAACGTGCACACTCCCTACAGAGTTGCCCAAGGCTGGAATTGAACCCAGGTCCCTGGTGCTGTGAGGTAGCAGTGCTAACCACTGAGCCACCATGCCATCCATCTTAAAGCAAAAATATTCCAACAATATTAACCACTGTGGCTACATGAGCAGATCAGACACTAGGAATCCTGCAGCGAGTGCCTAAAGTCTGTCTACCATCTACAAGGCACAATTCAGAAGGGTGATGAGTGCACCTCCAAAAATACTCAAAGTTTAACATCAACCAGGACAAAGCTTGGCACCACAAACACAAACTTTCAATCCCTCTACCACTGACACTCGGTGGCACCAATGTGTACTAACTACAACATGAACTGCAGAAATTCACTAAGGGTCCTTAGACAAACCCACTAATAGTACTGTCTAGAAGGACAAGGTTAGCAGATACATGGAAACGCCACCACCTGCAAGTTCTCCTCCAGGCCTCTCAAAGAATCGTGAGTCTTTTGAAGTCTCTTTCCCAGAGAATAGTGGAGGTGAGTCATTGATTATTTTTAAGGCAGTGGTAGGTAGGTTCTGGACTAACGAGAGAGTTGAAGGTTATTAAAGTCAGCAGGGATGTGAAGTTGACTCCACACTCAAATTAGCCATGATTTTCTTGAACGGCAGGGCAGCCTTGAGGGGCCAAATGACTGGTTCCAGCCCCTAATTCACATGCTTGTATCTTGTTGGAGGAATCTGAAGGGGAGAGGCAGATTTTATTTTTAGATTAGCAAGATATTATGGGTGGTGTACCTCGTTCTCATCTGCAGAAATCGTTTGGGCAAATTACTGTAAGCTAGGATATTGGTAAACTGAAAGGAAATGTAGAAGTATGCAGCCAGGTAAGAAGGTGGGTGATGAATGTAGTTTGCCATGCAGAAGTACCAAGTAGAATATTTTGAGTGAATAAATATACCCTAAAAGATGTCCTGAGAGCAGAGAAACAGAGTAAATTAGAGATGTTGATCTTTAAATGTTGGAGAACAAGCAAGAAAAGGTAAATAAAAACAAGAAATAGGATTTAGTATTTATGTATATGTGCTAATTAACCTGTTCAGTGATGTTATTACACACCTCTAGAGCAGACGGGACTTGAATTCAGGCCTCTTGGTCCAGAAGTGGGGGCACTACCATTGTACCACAAGAACACCTTCAGCATTTATAAATATATACATGTAAAGAATCTAAATATCAAAGCAAGGAATTGATGCTGAATTTGTGAAAGAAATTGAGTAAGGCCATGGTTAAATGTCAAATGTACAGTGCTGGGCAATCTGTCCCAAATAGGAGTTGAAGAAAAGGTACAACAAAGATTCACCAAAAGTGTGTGTGTGCGCGTGCGCGTGCATGCAAGAGTGAGTGAGAGAGAGAACGAGAGAGGGTTCAGGGAGGAAATGACAACTTTCTGCTTTTTCAGTGGCAGTAATGTTAAGGTGGATCATGTTAACCTTTGACCCACCATCCTGAAAACCTTTAAGAGGGTGAATCATGATTTCAGTTGGTCGGTGCAGATAGGCTTAGACAAAGTCATCATAAGGAGTTGTTAGAAATTTGTAGTCGTTTACCACAAATGGTTGTAAAGGCAGAAACTGGCAGGCAAGTTAAAAGAAAATCAGATAAATATTTGTAGTAACTAATGTGTAAGATTTATGGTGCATGGGCATTGGGAATGCCATTGGAATAGAGATTGAAGAATGAAGAGTAAGTAGCACACAAGGCTGCAATGGGCTGGAAAGCTTTTATTTGTACAAGACTACGTATTGACTCAATGCTGTTCATGCCTCTGCACTGATTCAGACTTCTTTTAACAGGAACGGAAGGCTTTAGAAAGAAGAATCTCAGAACTTGAGGAAGAATTGAAGGTTTAAAGCTTTTTCTCCCCTCCCTGTTGCAAATTTATTATGAAACAAATGGTTCTTTTTAATGATCAACACCCTAAACATGAGTCTTTTCTTTTTTGAAATACTAAATCAGGTTTTATCAGATTTGAGAGCTGACAATCAAAGACTGAAAGATGAAAATGGTGCACTGATTCGTGTCATCAGCAAACTCTCAAAGTAGTTGGCGTTCACTTCAACACTTGCACAAAGCTTTCTGGAGTGATGGGACGTACTCTGCTGGTCTCCATGTCTAGACGCTTGCCTCACCTTCTTTACCTGGAGGGAATGCTAATCAAGCCACGCCTATTGCTGTTATAGCAGCACCTGGACTACTGCCCCCAGATAGTTTTGAAAGGCATGTTCAATGAAGTCTATTACTGATGCTCGTAACTGGTACATGTATTGACACGCTGCTGAGGAACAGTGAGGAATGGTTATAATGGGAGTCCATGATAAATACAACTGTCCCACTCAGCGCACACGACCATTCTACGCTCATGTGACTTTGTTGATGAGAATACGAAACAGGTGCTTTGCTTTGCTCATTGTTTGTGATCAGTTGAAGAAATAAATGCTTCATTGATCAGATTCAAAGCAAGGCAGATCTGCTTGACTGACACTTTGTTTCGTGTTGTTTTATAAAGGAATGGAACAGAACAAGACTTAAAGCCATGTTTTAAAAAATTCCTCCAGTATTTTTTTGGATCTTCCACAAAGATCCCATTCATCAAAAGCTTCATCTTAACTAAAGATTCCTACCTAACACACACAACTTAATCTTCCTGGCATGCACAGTTGTTCATTGATGAAACAGTCTGCAGAAGTGAACAAAACGTGAACTGAGAAGAGGCGGTTAAGACACCCTCACCCACTTGTCAAGCGACCTTTACCTCTCAAAAATAAGATGCACTTAGATTTGTGATCCCATCTATTTGATCATTAGCCCTGTTGACTTCAGGAGAAGCAGCAAAGAAAGAAGCGAGAAGAGGAGATCGCCTTTGAGGGTTACTTTTCAACACGATGGTTGAACCCAGGCAACGTACGCAGTCGAGTGCAGTTTAAAAATAGCTTGAACATTAAAGTTATTGTTTAGACTCTGGTATGTGGGTTTTAAACTGCAATAGCATAAGAGCAGCAACGGTTGAAGGAATCATCCGAACATGGAGAGATTGCGAGAGAAGTGATACGATCACTGGAGCAGTAAATGCTGCTGCTGCTAATTGTCAAGGCTTGCCATATTTTTTGAGAGCAATGTAGGAAGGGTAAAAAGCTGCACCTACATCAGTGCAGGTAAATGTTTCTCCGTGTGAGAGCTCGGAGTTTGAATTGCACTATATTTTTCTGCCTACTCTCCAGTTGGTTTTGATCCCTCCCCGTTCCTAAAACAAAAAAAAACTGCCCCCAATTTTAAAATCTCTCTTTTGCCCCTCTCTTGCCAAAAATAAATCTTCTCAGGTCTTTCCTGTATCCTGTACCAAAATATAAGCAGTTCTAAACAATCAGCACTTTCCACTTGCTTTGCCAAAAGAAACACAATGAGCAATGTAAACAAAGCAGTCAGAATGTAAAGTATCGTGGTACCAAAGAAGTATGTGTGTTTACAACAGATAGTGTATATTTTGCAGATTCTTTTATAATACAGCCTTCCATACTGGTGCTGATTAAAAAGCCCTGACTTGTGGTGCTATTGAAGAACAAATGTCTACAGTTTGGACTCTTGCATTGCTCCACTTGTAGGGCAGAGTAGGTTTCCATAACCATTTCCACTTCCCTCAGAAACCTCTCAAATTTCTGTAGTTATTATTGAAGGCATAAGATAATAAAAGCGTTAACAGGGGAATTAGCTAATTAATCTGCTTTTGGTGTTGACCAAAGAAAGAATGCTAATCAAGGCACCAGAGAGAAGTATACTGCTCCTCTTTGAAACTGAATCTGAGATCTTAGTCTCCACCAGAATAGAAGACTACATACTTGGGTCGTCATTTCATGCCCAAGATGGCTCCTTGTCACTGCAGTAGTCTCTCACTACTGCACTAGTCTGCCAGCCCACATTCTGAAGCCCTGGAGTGGGCCTTCAATCCCAGGCCCCCAGACTTGGACAACAATGCGTCTGATTGAATGAAAGTAGAAGAACATAAGCAAGAGACTTTTTTTTTTCTGAAATGTGCAACTATCTGTGATACGAATATGGTGGCCTGTTACCCATATTGGTTTCTTCGTTCCGCTAGGTGATTTTCCTTAATACTGGTGTCAGCCTCATTCCTGCCAAAAAATTACAACCTCACTGGTGCAGTGATTTGGTGAAAATGGTCATGCAATCCAGTCTAAAGATTGATATTAAGTCTGATTAAGGATATTGTTTCCTAAATAATTCCTTTTGAAGATGCATAAGCCACAGTTACGTTATTACTAAACCCCAGGTGCATCGCTTAGCTAGTAAATCATTTTGGTAGGTTAGTACAAGGGTTCCTAAGAACAAATGTTTAGATGCTTGCTGTTACTCTCTGCACTTTTAAAACCTGAAAACTTAATTTGCAGTCACCTCACATTCCCCTCAACTGAATGGGACATTCCATGGTCTCTTTCTGATGAGTATCCAAACAAGTACTTGCTTCTGGACTGAGGAATTGCAAACAGAACAGTAACCAACTGATCTTCAATGTAGTGACCAAGCAATAATGTGACACTTCTGTGAACTTGTCAATTGGCTAGGTGTCTCGAGAAAGTAAAGTATTATCCTTTTGCTTTGGAAGACTGAGCATTGCTGCCCCAAGACAACACCGGTACATTTCCATGACCCAAATGCTGACAATTGTCCACTCAAGCCTTGTGGATTTCCCTAAAGTCACCTAGAACACATTGTTATCCTTTGTCTGTTCCTTGGTTGGTGATCTCACAGAAAGATGGAACGTTCATTGTGTTCCTGATATACTGACAGACTTCGGCAGCAAGAGATTAGGGTCACATACAACACAATACAGCACAGAAATTTCGGCCCACCAAGCCTGCATTGATTCCTAAACCTTATTTAAACCTGCTACTCATTGCCCATTTGCAGTTTCTATCCTTCTGTTCACTTCCCGTTCACGAGTCTATCAAGATACAACTAAAATGATGCTAACATGCCTGCTTCGACCACCTCCATTGGCAGTGTGTTGCAGGCACCCACCACCCTCTTTGTGAAAACTTTTCCCCGTGCTTATTTCCTAAACTTACCCCCTTCTCGCCTCGAACCTGTGCTCTCTTGTAGTTGACCGTTCCACCCTGGGATAAAGCCGCTGACCATCCGACCCATCTATGCCTCTCATAATTTTCAGGTCACCCTTCAGCCTCCACCTTTCTAGTGAAAACAATCCGAGTTTATCCAAACTCTCCTCGTAACTAAAACCCTCCAGACCAGGCAACATTCTGGTAAACATTCTCTGAACCCTCTCCAAAGCATCCACGTCCTTCTGGTAGTGTGACAACCAGAACTGAGAGATCCAACATTGAGGAGGTCTTTAGGTTAGTACGGCAAATTACTTCTTTTCAGCGTGTACACTTATACATATTAAGATCAAAAAGAGTTGGAACAGCCAGAATCTGTAAAGTTACATTGAGGAAGTAGTTCAGTGAAAGATAGAATGGATGATTATTGTGTGGCACATTTAGGGGCAGCAGAGGGGAACTGAACCACTCAATATCTCAGCTTTTTTTGAGTCCATATGCAGGAGCAAATTCCAGAGTTAGTTTTTGATGGTTTAAGCATATGGGTTACATTAGCAATGATCTTGCTGGTCTTCTATTTATTTATTCTGGTGGGAGGATGACTGCACTTATGTACTTGCCAACTATTGAAATGAAACAGCAAAAATTTCAGTTAAGGTGCTCTGCGAGAATAAAATGCCTAAGAATGAGAAGAAAGTATTTATTCCCACATCTGTTCATGCATACCTATTGGCGCTTACCTCTTTATAGCCATTGTCCTCTTGAAGTTGAAAGCAGAGTATAGATTTGTATATTTAGGAAAAGGGAGTAGGAATGGGGCAGGGGCTTCCTTCACGCTGTGTACCTAATGGGTGAACACAGTGCACGTGCTCCATCACTTGTGCAATAATGCTGAGTTTTATCTTTTATGCAATAATGTATAAGTTACTTTTCTATATGCTTGCCAACAAATTGCACAATGTCTTATTGTATAAAGGTCACAGATGTATTTGAAATGAGTTCTATATATTTCACCTTCCTTTCAAATGTAAACTTTATATTCTTGTACATTTGTATGTTAATATTTAAAAGAAAATTGTTGCTCACCAATTCACATCAACCACTGGTTAAAATTTGATTTGCTCTTGGTAAATATGAAGTGAGACAAGCTTCAGCTATAATGTGTCGACTTTTTCTGTTTCCCAGAGCTGTTGTGCTTTCTGGCTTTGCCATCAGATTTGATCATGACCTTTGTTTTGATTCACCCTTCACTTTTGTACACAGCCTTCACTCTCAGGCACCTGAATTCTCTTGCTCAATTCTTGTTAAGACACGGTGTCACTGTCTTCACCAGAATTCCCCCTCAGAACTGGGTCTCAGTTTAGGATTTAGGCCTTCCTCCCAGTTCTAACCTTCACTCTTGGAGTTCCTCTGAGAAAAAAAAGTTTTGAATTTCCAGTTTACACTGAACACTAAGATTTAATGTATAATAGTACTTCTTTCTTATTAGCACAACCAAAAACATGCTGCAAAAACATAGTTTACATTGTCCTTTTAAGAGAACATTCAGTTCTCCCAGGACCTGTCCAAGATGATTTTTAAGTCTCGCAGAGATTCTTCCTGTACTGCAGGCTGTACAAATCTTCCTATGATCTCCCACCTGCATTGCTATGGGATGCATTGTCTTGCTGCGTCTCCCAGATCCTCACAGACTTTGAGAGTTTTCAGGGTTAATTTAGACTCTTCTTCTTAGCCCATCTCCATGGTAATATGAAACAGATGGGCCTTGCATCCTGGTGGAAATGCTGATTAGCTATCCTTGAGACTTGAACTTTTTTTTTGCAGTAAATGGACAGCTTAGAGCACAGACGTTTATAACCTGACTTTCTTCACACTTTTCAGGGACTTTGGAGACTAATTTTGTCCACTCTTTGTACACAGTCTGTGGTCATTGTCTCTAAGCGTAAAGCACCTTGCCCCTTCTTCCCAGTAAAAGATCTGGGCCCTGTTTAATCTCTCACAATCGAACCACCCAGGCTTGCTGTCAGGCAGACACCAGAGTGATTCAATTAACCCAGTCAATTTATTTTAAAGAGAAGAGACCGAGACAGTCCAAAAACCGTAATCTTATAATTCTGACACAGGGCGTTGCCTCTGAGATGGCTGGTATGAAAAGTAGATATGTCAGAAGTCTTTATTGTGAGAGGGGAGAAGGTCACACTTTCAAAAAAAAAGTTAATTGTGGTATTGTTGAGAAATTATCTTGTGTTTTTCTGGGAATAGATAATATTGATATTGGGTGTAAAAGTGAAAATATATTTAGATCTCAGCACTGCCATCCCTCATATTGATGAGCACTATATGCACCAAAAATAAAAATATATATTTTACAAAAAATTAAATGGAGCAGACTTATGTCATGTCCTACTGCCTGTCTTGATGCTTCTATACCCTCTCCTCCTTTCTTCTGTACTTTGAATTTACATTTTTTCAGGTTTCATATCTGAAGGGATATTTGCTGTACAGAACTCATTGCTAACAAGCATGTCCTTTAAGGGTCCTATGCTGTTATGGAGTGGAGTCCACCTAGAATATAGGAAAGGTGTTGATTTGCTTGACTGAAGCAAGATGTGTGGGTTCTTCCAAAGACTGTTAAGTTACATGGCACTGTGCATTGTGGAATGCTGTAGCACATTTTTAAAGACAATTCGAATGGTTTGTTGACTTAATTATTGCATTCCACGATTGGGTGACATCAAGATGCTTCCTATAAATCCAGATTTTAATCCAGCCCATATTAAAGAATGGATTTGGCCTCAGAGTTTGTGTGGTCTCAATTCAGCTCCATGGTGATGCTGTAAAATACTAACTTGTTCATGTGAACCATTGTAAATCTCACTCAGAAGCTGTAACGAGGTTGGGTAAAAGAAGCAAATATGGCACTGATACAGTGCATGTTACAAAAGAAAGACTTCATTTATAAGTGCCTTATTGTGATTCTCAACAACATCTAGAAGTGCCTCTTCCAGTGAATGATGTTGGAATTATCATTGTTGAATATTTCTAGTTCGTACTGTATCAAGAAAGCAAAATTGATGTGATGGTGGGTGGGTGTTGTAACTGAGGCTATTGATTATCAGAAATCACTGATCAAAAAGTATCTTGTGATGCACTGGCTTAAATTGCCATATTTCTTAGTATGGACATAAATGGCAACTGTTGGCAGATTGTTGACTTGGGAAAAGATGACATCTAAATCGGATATTGCTCCTCATGCCTGTGGTTGAGAGCACGTGACTAAACATGTAACCTCGAACCATCCGGTCTGCAAATTCTATCAGTGATACTGCTAGCACTAAGGTGGTTACAGTGTTCTGGGAAGCTGCAAATTACAGTGTGGTTACAAAGACTGTTTCTCAATGATGTCAGCTATACATAGACAATGTAAATGATTTTTAATTTGCCAGTACTAAAATGGTGGCTGTCTTGACTTGTTCATTTCAGTTACAATCATTAAAGCTGCAGAGAACAGACCAGATAATTTGCTTTACAAATTACTTAGGATGCAGTTTCTTTTTCTTTTTCCCCAGCACAATGTAAAACATGGGACAAAATTTGCAAGGTTGGGAGGTCCTACTGGAAAAGTAGGTTTAGATATGATCCATTTTGATAGTTTTCAAAGTAAAGGTTTTGTGATGAGGGAATATATTCACCAGCTGTTGGCATTTCATTTATTCTAACTGATTGCTTTCCACCCAGCATGTCAGAATACTAAGAGAACTGGCATATTTTGTTATAAGATCATAAAATGATTCACTTAAAAGTTTCAGGTAATGGTGTAGAGGAGTGTCAGTAAAGAACCCCATCGAGATTGTAAGAAAAGATTTTTTTCACAGAAAATCAGGGAAATTATCATTGGGTGGAAGCTCAGACACTCCAGGATTAGAAAATGTTGGGGCAACTGGCTTTTAACTCACCTGACAGTCGTTACAAATGTTGCAGGACGCATTAAGCAAGAGAAAACAGGAGATGTAAGAAAGGCAATGTAATAATTGTGGGTATTTTAATTCCTATGAAAAGGATAAACCAAATTTATTAATGTGGCCTGAGATATGAGTTGACAGAATGCTTCAGGGAAGCCTTCCTAGAACAATATGTTGTAGAACTGACAGGGGATAAAGCTATTTTAAATTGTGTAATGTACGTTGAGGCAGGTTTGAGAAGTAATCATATACTGTAGTAAGGATTATCTGAGGAAAAATAATAATGCAATTCAATTCCATCTAAATTTGAAAGCAACATAGTCAGATATCTTAAAACTCAAACAGCCAGTTCTATAGATATGAGGGGATGGCTAATTAAGGTTGATGATATATTAAAGGTGGTGCATAAAAATAATCACTTATTCAAATATATCTCACTGCTTAACGGTGTTCAGCAAAACTATTACAATAAAAGAACAAACTCAGCAAGATCCGTTGACTTAGGGATAGTGTTATATTGAGAATAGTTTATAAGGTTACAAGGGATAACAGCCTGAGATTGGAACAGTTTTGGAAAATGGCAAAGGGAAGTACAAATTAAATAGAATATGGTAAATGAGTTACATATATCTATAATCTCTTTCTTTGTGAACAGGAAGTAGCCAGAACGTCTGGGTCCAAGTATCAGTTGCCCTAGGCATGTGTTGTCACAAGTCTGAACAGGTTGATTATACATCTTTTTAAACAAGAGGTAAACATTGGTCCCTTAAAGACAGAAATGAGAATCCACAGTTATTCCAACTGTCGAACTGAGTGAAGAAGGCAGGCAATGAGATGAGAACTTGTCCGTGGATTTCACCTATGGAACTGATGAGCAGTGAAATTTCCACCTCCTTCCATTGTCTGTGACTACAAGTTCACCCTACAAACACCGGACGACTCCTACTCCAACCTCCAATCCTGACATAACGTACATCTGGGGGAAAGATGGTTATTGTTAGGTTTGTGCTGAAAGCCATTACTCTCCATATTCCTCCTAACAGTTTCACACTTGTCACCGTCATTATTGACCCTCCCAATATAACCTTGCAGTTTCCCACTAGCTACAACAGTTTCCTTCCCTAAAGGGCATTAGTGATCCAGATGGGCCTTTGCTGACAATCGACAACAGTATCATGGTTAGCATTAAAGTC